CAAAAGCTGCATTTCTGCTTGCAAATAGCAGTGGCGTGAATAAATGGTTTGAGGGAACGTTTTTACAGTCACTTTGAACGATTGGAGTTTTGGATCAGAGGACAGCTCGAATTGATTGGTGATAAACATAGATTTGATTCGAAATTGTTTTAGATTTCGTCGGGAGAAGTGACGGGAAATCTTGATTAGTAGAAAACTTATTGGAGATTATCGTAGATAAACGTGGTATTAAACAAAAAAAATCTACCAAGGTGGTTACTATCTGTTAGTAATTTAACATTAGCACAATTACTCGATTGAGAAACGTTCGCTATTTTATGAGGCAAAAATATCCTATCGTGAACTAGTTAATAATTCGTTATTTTCATAAAAGTTCATTATTATAAAATATAGTATTCGTATAAAAACTTTCTAACAGACCAATCGACGGCCCACACGTATCTTCTTATAAAATTTTGCTCCATTATATCGAGTGGCAAGAAATCTTCTTATGAGCGCCGGCATCCTCACTGTCAATTGGAAATAAATAACGAAAATGAATCACATCTTTAATGCTTTTCTGAGTGAGCAGTTATTTATCCGCCAGTTTCTCCATAAAATATATATGAACCATTGAAAAATGTAAAGAACCGGACAGGAATATTTGTAACAAAATTTTTCAAATAACTTCCGTGTAAATCTTCGACTTCAATCTATTTTGATCGCAATTATGAAAAAACAATGGTTAAAAGAAATGCAGAAGTAGTGTATAATAGCTAGTTATTGTTGGAAAATAAGAACATTACCGTAACACGCTAGCGTAATGATCACGATATCGGGAACATGTAACCTTTTACATAATTCTTGCATTGTCTGACAGAATAAAACGAAAGTATCGCTCGCGATTGTATCGAAGAATAAGTAGATAATACAGAGGAAGTATATTTGTCTTCAGAGTGTCAGTGGAACAGCGAGATCAGCATCGAATCAATTAAGAAATCCCAATTCAATAATATTCAGCCCAAAAGAGGCCTTGGTGATAACAGACGGAACCAATAATCGTGTCGAGCTATTCAATATAACTGTATGCTGATACACAGCTTTATGCTCTTTATCATCACTGACTATATACAAAGCTTGAAAATATTTTACGCTTTAATTTTCTGACCACTATCGCTATGCACGTTATAAACTTTACTCAATGATTCTCTTGGAGAAAGTATGTGTAAAACTTCAAATCTACATTTCGCTGTCGTAAAGAGACACGTATTCTCTGTATTTCCGAATACTAGCATTTACTTCGAATGAAGAAATATACGATTGAAAAGTAAACGTTGTTTTTACACATACGTATATACATAATGAACAATTGCTACATACTAAAGACGGTCACAACATGATTTACTCATTCTAATAATTAGTCAGATCCAGCACATCGGCATCAATATGGTACAAATAATTTCCAAGATGTCGTTTGCAACTCTTTCGAAGTAAAAACGTAAACGAAAACATCCAACGCGGAGTTTATGTATCCCAGTCACGAGAAAATTTTGAATAAAATCTCATGATGATGTTCATTTTTCAAATGAATCAGAAACATACCACTCAATAGGAAATAAACGAAATAGGGTAACTATCACAGAACGAACAAGACCAACAAGCTTCACTGCTTTCTGATCTTTAGAAAACTTCTTCCACAACACATTCATTTCAACAGCTGTATTTCCTACGGTTGGATTTTCATACTTTCCGTAATGAATACGAATTGTTATATAATCTGTTGCGAATCGATGAGATTCAGTCGATTTCATTCGAAAATGATATTAGTAACCCAGAACGAAGTGTTGAAACTTGTTTTCTAGCTGCGACATACACTCGAATTTAAACATAAATCATTACAGTTAGTGGTAAATACGACGATACAACCGAAATGAATAGGATATAATACGGAGTACTCGGAAATTCACATTCGTTATACAACGGCAGAGGTGTTATCATGTTTTTATTGTTTATCGGTGATTGCTCTAAAATTAAACGTACAATGACGAATCTGACAGTAAGCATCCACTGGATCACATACGAGAAATCACTTGTGCTATTCCAAAGAACGCCACAGCTGGTGAGGCAATAATTGCTGCAGTTGTCCATATGAATAACAGAACATAAAACCTTTTTCTCGATATGAATAAATTTGGATAAGCAATTTGTTTCGTAATTGCTATGTAGCGATCCAGTCCGATCGTGTACAGCGCAAAAGTAGATGCGGTTGAGGTGAATATGTTCATTGAATACCAATATAGTCACAGAAAAAATTTTTATGTCTTCGATATAACCAATATTCAGCATCGGTCATCTCACATATGAACTCGGATGGCATGACGATTAATCCTACTGGAAAATCTGCAAAAGCCAATGATGTAATGTAACAATGCGTTGACGTATGTAAAATAGTTTCACGGATAATAACAAATATTATTAAAAAGTTCCCTACGTAGACATGTCGCAATACCAATACTCTTGGGAATTGGGTATTGATATTGGGCAGGTGTTGACGGTATTGAAGGTATTGGTATTGATTAGTATTGATCAATACTTTGTCAATTTCTACAGCCATTTTCAATTATGTCGAGTGCCGTGGATAGCGCCGCTCCATATGTGATCAATACTATATATGGCACTTGGTAAAATTGAGAATGAGTGTAGAAATTGACAAGGTATTGATCAATACTAATCAATACCAATACCTTCAAAGCCATCAATACCTCCTCAAAAGCAAGACTCAATACCAATTTTCAATACCGAGTATTGGTATTGCGACATGCCTAATCATAGCTATCATTATACGCAAAAAAATGGTAAAAGTTGCTCTTCCAAAAGTCGCCCGTTAAAGGGTTAAACAGAAAAAATTATTATCATGATTATAATCATTGTTGATTTGTCAAAATTTAAAGAAGTCAGATATTTACGTTCTTGCTTGTATTTAGAATTAAAATCCTTTTATTTAATGCAGTTCATTACTGACATCAATTTGACGAACAATAGCGCCAACCAATGCTTTCACAATATAATCACCGTACGAGAAAGGATAGTCAGCTCCACTACAATGAAGGACTCGTCTCTTTTCTGTCTCATAATCATCAGTAACATCAACGTTGTGCATTATTCGATCCCACTTTTTCATACGCTCGACACAATTCGGATCATCAGTACATAGTAAGAAAGAAACATGTGTGGTATTGACGTTCCGCTCTGCTTGCATGAGACGTTCAAGTTCCTGTGGATTTTCTTTTTCAAATTCATCGGTTGGCAATCCGTCAGTTGCTACAAATACTAATAGTTTTTTATCTCGCCCACGACGTGCTAATTCTGACTGGAAAACTTGTTTTAAAACAGGTACCATGGGTGTTAAGCCACTTGGAGGTTCATTGAATACTTGTTCAACAGTTCTCGGATCTCTCACTCCAAGTAGTACGTCTCTATTGAGAAAGTAAATATCGACACCGTTCGAATCAAATCTAACACCAATATCAAGTATAATTTTAACAATTTCGCAAAGTTCGTCCCATCGAGTGTGTTCAGTATCATCAACTTCTGTTTTCATTGAGCCAGAATCATCACATACAATGACAATTTCATACTCACGAAGTTCTCGAAGATATCTAGCCATTTCCGGTGGTATTTTATATTTACGAGCAATCTCGCAAATGGCAGCATCATCTTATAAAGAATATTACAGTCAGAATTCTATGATTATTATCTTATAAGAATGATCAAAAGAGTGACTATTAGTCATTGAAATAATACTCTATCTTATTTCTCAATCTGATCACTCGCACTACTGTTCTTTGAGGAGTTATTACTTCAGAAATACACATACCGCTACTTATTCGTCGTTGTATTCTTCTGTCGTTCAATTGATTGAGTTCATTTATTTCAGTTGCCTCCGCACCCATGCCTTCAATGAAAAAAATCATATCAAACATTGAAAATATGTTAATAACAAACTCAGCTTCGTATTTACCGGAGGTGTTCAAAGCGTCCTCAATTGCACCATTATTAGTCGAATTAGAAGAGTTTGTACTTCTATTAGAATTTGACTGTCGTCGTCTATCTGATAGCATTCCGCTAGTTTATGATGTTAATAGATATAAAACTAAATATATAGAGCGTCCTTCGCCATAAAATACTCCGATTTGTCTTTTTGTTTATATAACCTTATTCAAATATTATAAATAGGTAATCTTTTTCATCCCTTATTCCCTTTTCTGAAAGAAAGGGTTATACAGCGTTTAAATGCTGTCTTAAAAAGCTTAAAGTTTGTCTGTCTGTCTGTCTGTCCTATCCAATCAGAAATCAGCATTTCTAAAATCAATGAAATTGATCGATAGTTGTTAGAAAATGATTACCCCTAGGGTAATCGAGGTCGAGGAACTTGAATATGAGGTTAGTTTTAACTAATTATTAACTATTAATTAACTATCTGTCAACTAGACATAGATTATTAATATACAGAGTAA